TAAGAATATCTATCAGGAATCAAGGCTATGTGAAAATATTAGGCCTACTGATATCCTCGTAAAAAACTTCAATTATTGTTGGGAATAGTTTCATTTCGAATGAAAGTGCATGAAAAAGGGATTCGAAGGTCAATCTCACCAGAAGAGGACAGCTGAATCCAGTTGTAATGCAGGCGTTTAGCTAATAATACGACGTTCAGGTTTATGCAGTCCACGGGACCTACCTCGTTTCGAGTGGGAACATGCTGGGCTTTCGTCCATCAAATGTTGGACATCAGAGCTAGGACCCATTCTTGTAAAAGTCTGACGGAAGAAGCTTTATCTCTATCATATGCTGGGCGCAAGCTCAGCCCGTTCACATTCAAAACTAGAAAGGTTTCGTGGACTGCGTCAACCGGAACGCCGTATTAAAGCCAGAAGGCTGCAGTACAACGGGATTCAGCCGTTTTCTTCTGGTAAGATTGATCTTCGAACCTCTTCTTCATGCACTTTCATGCGAAATAAGTTTCTCCAATAATATAATCTATGGAGATTCATCAAATCCCAATTATTATTCTTATTTGCAAACATCAATTAACAGTCCTCGATAAAATTAGATGAAATAAAGCAAAATACATCTCAATCTACATGTATACTTTATCAAAGTCATACAAAATTTCACAACAAATAAGTATAAATTAATATAGAAACAAAATAATTCCATCGCTTATCATAATCGTTGTTAAAGTGTCTCTCATTAGTAAGGAACACGTAAAACTGTCACTAGCCAAATTTAATTCATACCAAATGAAAGCACCACCTATTGGCCGGTTCCAGACAGCTGCTTACTATCCGTTTTTCGTGTCGGTTGCTACATGTAAGTCCCGAACATAGATTATTTTGACGACTTTGTCAGCTTATCTGATCCTTTTGTGCATAAGTTCAAGTATTAACAAGGCATTTTAAGAATGAATCCAGAAGAGGCTTCTCTCTTAGAGTCTACTCCAAGGAATAGGTACTCAGCAAAATAATGTCGGTATTAGCAATCGGCCGTTATGGAATTTAAATATGGCTTTAACTTGTTCGGAAATACACTGACATAAATTTGCATTGAAATCTTTAAACTTACAGTGCCTCCAGTAAATGGAGAAGTGATAGAAGGTGGGATAGTCGATGGTGATGCAATTGCCGGGTTAGAAACAACTGTGCCAGTCCCAGTTGTCACGACACTAGACTGCTGAATGACAGGACCAACTAAGTCGAGTGAAGAAGGCAGTCCAGCCTGCTGTTGAGAAGTTATAGAAAGGACAGCTTCGGCTTGTTGGCCAGAAGAGATACTGACAGTTTCTGTGAGACCTGAAAGCAAAGGATTGCTATTACGCCGTTTGGTGGGAACATTGGAGTTTTGAGATCCGGCATCTAAAAGTAAAAATTAAAAAGAAATGAGCCGAGATCAATATATATATCCAACCTCAAAAGCAATATTCGTAAGTCCTTAGAACTTTCAGCATAAAACTCAGAGCTAATCCAAAATAATTAATACATTCAAATTTAATATCACTAGGTTCGAGGCAATCAAACAAAAAACTCTGTATTAATTTTCGTATATAAACAAAGTTTCAAGACTACCAGTTAATCAGTTATGGGATGTATTCACCCTATTTCGTTTAAGGTGATGAAGGATAGATAGTAGAATTTTCCAACAATGATATGAGCAGAGCTGGCGTTTCCATTGAATTACCCAAAGTCGTCCTCATCCAAGGCGGACTGCAATTTAGACCTCGCCTAGGTCTTATCAACATCCCCAGGGGGAGTTAAACCGTGACCGTGTGGCATGTGAGCTTAACTTGTTAACGACTCAGCCAGATGGTCCAAGTGCCCTTAAGTCACAAGGCAGATGTGAATTTGAAAAAATGCCAGACCTTTTCTCATATCACGTTCTTTTGTGGGATTGTCGATGAAGCAAACGTATTTTTGCCATAGTAATCGACTACATTACTTATTTCATCACCTTAAACGAAATAGCGTCAATATATTTCAAATAACTGATTTACTGGTAGTCCAAAAACCCTGCTTATATACGAAAAAAAGTAATGTAGTCTATTGTTATAGCAAAATTACATTGCTTCATTGGCAATCCCACCGAAGAATGTAATATGGGAAAAGGCCTGGGCTTCCTTGAAATTCACATCTGGTCTGTGACCCAAGGGCACTCGCGACTATGCGGCCATAATTCGACTCCCGCTGGAAGTGTTATTAAGACCTAGGCAAGGTAAAAACTGCAGTCCACCCTAGATGAGGACAACTTTTAGGAAAGCAAGGCTATGTTGAATTCAATGTAAACATCAGCTCTACTCATATTATTGTGGGAAAATTCTACTAACAGTCCATCATCAGCCTTAACGAAATAGAGCGAATACATGTCATATAACTCTGTATTATAATGCCATGGGAGCACAGATTCTAGTA